CGCCCCCCCCCCCACCCATGCAATGTATGCGGATCCTCATTTCCCGCAGCCGTCTCCATCGATGGCGCCGCCCGCCGCATCAAGCACACCCTCCACCCCCGCAGAGTCAGAGGCCGCGCGCCTCACCGCCAACCCAGAACCCGTACCAGCCGCGGTAGATACCGGTTCCGCCGGAACGGGTGAGGAGGTTGACAGTCCTGCGGACGCGCTGGGCAGCATGAGCGAGTTGAACGAAGCGCTGCCGACAGCGACGACAACGACAGAGGGGGTAGCGGGTGGTGATGCCGTAGAAGCTGCGCCGCCGCCGCCGGCCGCGGCGGGGGTCGAGCAGGCAGAAGGAGAAGACGGTGACGCAGCATCTGTGGGGGAAGAGGTGCGCCGAGTTTATGTTTGGCGTGTGTGTGTGTGTGTATGCTTTTGCACGGAAAATGTAGCGGGGTGGTGTGTGTAAGTGGCGGTTGACTCGCCGATGCGGGTAGTGCTTGCTCGCTGCAGGTAGAAAGAGGCATGCGTTGTTTTGTCTTCGGGAGGAATGACCGAAAGCGGCTGCTTTTGTGCCCTACGTCATTTTCAGGCGCCTTGCCTTTTTTCGTGTATTTCCAACGACCGGCGACTTGAAGAGGGACTCACGTACACCTACTAAATAGAACTTTCGCAGGGTGTTTTTGGTGCAGAAAGAAATCAACCTCGGGCGGTTTGTTGGCGCGGACATCAATATGTGTCGTGTGTGTGGTATGTTTATGGATGCATACACCGGCTGCTCGGACGGGGGTTGCTTTTTCTGCATTTGCAATCTGCGGCAGCGCATCCTCTTTCAACTCCTTGCTCGGTTTCGACGGGTAGATATCGCCGCTACGAGTATGAACTGCTGTGCGTCGTCTCAGGAGGGATGCGTAGTGAGGGGTCCAGGAAAAAGAAAGAGGCAGACGACAGCAAACGGGCTGCGTGATTATAGACCCCACCGCCACCGCTGGAATCGGAGGACGCCTCACGTACCATGTGTCTGTTGTGTAGGCGAAGGAACGGAATTCCTCCGCTCCGAGAAAAATATGCCCAAGGCCAGCAGCAACATTTTGTAGTGCTCCCCCCTCCACCGCCACCGCCGTGCCGCCTCTTGCAAGGAACGAAAGCTTCACTCAAAGCTTAGTGTGTTTGCGTCCCCAAAACCGCAAAAATAAACAAAAAGCATCGCTGTATTGTACGCTGCTCGGGGAGTCGTACAGACGCCGGTTGGTCGTCGTCATCCTCATCGTCATCATCTTCTTGTTTCCTGTGTGGACCCCGCAGGCATCGACGAACAGCCTGAAGGACGACCCGGGAACGCCGGAGGAGTGCAACCTCTTCGTCGGCGACCTGGCGAGAAACCTCACGGAGGAGAAGCTCGAGAAGGCCTTCGAACAACACGGGAGGGTGAGCTGTCTCAACTCCCCACACAGCAGTTCAGTATCATGATTGTTTTTGGTTTGAGGAGAAAAATGTGTATGTTTCTTTCTGGAATCAACCCGAATCCAGGTCCCCTCCCCCACCCCATCTGATGTGACAAGGATTTTGTGTACAGGTAATTCACAGGTGGTTCCAATGCCGCTTGCGGTGTAGTGACGTAAGCAACTTTTTGTTTCGTTGAAGTAGGTCGTATCACACCGTGTCGTTCGGTGTACGAGCGGTGTTGTGTAGGGTTGCGTGGTTGGTCGTACGGTCGCGCCTCACGACGTCCGCAGTCTCTTGGCAGCAGTCTGTTGGAGTGACAAGACAAGATAAGACGCAAGGCACAACGTAGTCGCGCACCTTAGAGCGAGTACGAAAGCTACGTGGCTCTCTCACCTCGTCGCCTTTCGAGACAACCACACGGGGAGGGTAGATAGGCAATCACACGTGCATTTTCGGCAGTTCGGTCCGTGGTGACTTGGGCAGGGCGGGGGGGGGGCTGTCTACTTGCGAGTCTTGTCGTCTCCCGGTGAGACCGTCGGAGCGTCCGTGTAATGTACGGGTCTTCGTGCAACGTGTCCTGGCAAGGTACCTTCCCGCCTGCCGGTTTTTTCGTCCGGTGATACTGCTGTAGTGCATGCGTCCCAACCTCAACGGCCTCTTGATGTGATGCACAATGGTGTTGCGGTATCCGCCTGTCTTGCCTGTTCTGTCCTGTCTTATCATGCAGTATCTGTCTGGCCTTGTGATTTACAACGGTGTTACGGTAATGTCCGCCTGCCTTTGCCGGTCTGCCTTCTTATTTGTCTGGTCTCGTGATCGACGATGATTATGTCACGGTATCCGACTGTCTTACCCTTTCGTTTTGTTTGTCGTGTACTGTTATGTAGCTCCTGCCTGTTTCTGTCTTGTGGTGGCGAAATTTGGCTGCAAGTCTCAAACCACCATGTGTCGTTCGAGTGTTCCACTTCCGTACACGGTACTCTTCTTACCATACCGGCAATGCACCCACGTGGATGATTGTGTCCGGGGTGTATTTTTGATTCGGTAGTTGCTTGTATTACCTGTCTGGTGTTATGAATCAGGTGATGTCGGTGTCGATCAAGCGCGATCGGGCCACCGGCAAGAACCTCGGGTACGGCTTTGTCAAGCTGTCCTCTCACCAGGAGGCGAGAGCTGCCAAAGAGGCCATGCAGGTATGGTTTGTGGGTGACGTTTCTTTTTTGAAGGGCTTTGTTGCTGAGGAAAAAAGTACCGGCCTCATACGCGTTCAGAAATGGATGAAAAATCACGTTTTTTGTCGGTCAGAGGTAGGAGCAAGCAGGCTTTCGACCACCCGGATAGTTCTCCTCTCATCCGTGCTTGTCTGTGTCTCTCCCGCCAATCAATTTCCCTTGTGGTGAAGCATTGCTCATTACCCCCAACCTTTTTGTTCCCGCACTGGCGTTTTTGAAACGGCATGGTGCTTGCTTGCTGCGTGGCACGCAGGGCGTCGAACTGGGCGGACGACGCGTGCGAGTGGGCTGGGCGCAGAAGAACACGTCTCTGTACGTCGGCGGACTGGAGGGCGGCGCGATCACCACCGAGATGCTCGTCCGCGAGTTCGCCCGCTTCGGTCCCCTCGACAAGGAGCTCACCACTATCAAACCCGGGGGTGAGAAGACCCCCCACCCTGCACGGCCATGAGTACCCACCCCTACCCCTACCACCACCCCACCCCTCTCCTGCATCTGGAACTTTTCCACCTGAAATTTATAAGCATAATATCCTCCCAAGTGTTTATCACATCTTCTTCGCGGTATGTGGCGCGACTTTTTTACATTGGCGCAAAGGTCGAAGTTTCCTTGCGGTAGTCGCGTGCCTGCCGAGTGTGACACGTGCATGTCTGGTTTGGCACAGCAAATGCAAGAATGACGACGACCAGCCTCTGGTTCATCCCTGTGAAGCGTAGCGTGGGCCGGCGAAAACCCTGCAAAACACATCGCTCCGTCCGCGCATTGTAGGGATACGAGGCCAATAGTCTCACCGCTACGGCATGCCTTTACATGAAGACACCCCCCTCCCCCCGGCTCCCTGCGAAATATGGTACGCGATGATAACCGCAAAGAGCGCCAGAACTGAGTTGGTATGTAAGAATCATTACTGCTGATCGTTGTCCTTGAAATGGACACAGAGTAGTGCCGAGGACGATTGGTTCAACGCAAGCCTCCAAACCCCTTGTTAATTTTTTTTTCGCGTCGATTTCTTCTTAGCTCTGCTTTTCTCTCCCTCGACTTGTCTCTCTCGACCACCTCAGCGAAGTTCGGGTTCGTGAAGTACCGCTACCGCCTCCATGCCGAGGCGGCGAAGAAGGAGCTCAACGAGCGCCCGGCCTTCGATGGCCTCTGCCCAAGTCTTGAAATTGGTGAGTTTCAGTGCAGATGTAGCACCGGCTGCTCAGGACATAAGGGGGGGCACCAGACAAAGAGTGCGTTGATGACAGCGGAGATGGTCCTGGTTCTATTCGATACATGCTTGAACGTCGTTTCAGGGCCGAAGCGACCATCGGTCTGACCTAGGTGTGGCCGACTGACTGACTAACCAACGAGCGGTGCTTGTTTTTCATGCCACATCTCATCAGGCAGTGATGTACAGAGCGTGTTTTGTAAAAGGATTCACACACTTGATACCAAAAATATTGAGTTGTCTGCGCTTTGGTTGCCATCGATATTTGAACATCGTTTGCCTTTCTCTGCTGCTTCTGTGTTTGCTTTGCCCTGTTCAGCACTTAAACACGCACTTGTAAGCGTTCCTCTCTTCCGTTTCTCTGAATCCGCTGGAGTGATTCTCCTGACCGTACCCAAGAACTGAAGAAGCGATTTGTGCTATTGCCGAGTCGATACCCAGCCCTCTCGGGTGGACCGGGTGCCACTTTTTAACTACCTCCCTTCTTTGTGCTTCTTTTCTACCGCACGGGTTCTGAACCACTGCAAAACGCCTCCTTTTGTTCTTCGCAGAGTGGAACAGCGTCGAGTCCAGTGCTCAGGCCTCCGAGACGGCCGGGTCGGAAAAGAGCACCGCCGAAGATCGGACTACCGGCGGCGGCGGCGGCGGCGGCGGCGGCGGCGGCAAAGGGGGAGGGACAGGAGGGCGAGCAAGGGGGTCGTCGCAGCACGCCGGGGGTGGGGGGGGGGCACACTCCCGTCACCCCCGCGGGGAGGTCTCTAGCCACACCGTCCACGTGCAGTTCGAGGGCGACCAGGTGATGACCCAAAATCAACTCATTTACGAACCGATACATATGGATGGGTGTGTCCGTTTTTTCGTTTCTTTTCTTTTTCGTCCTTTTTATATCTGTCCGGTGCATCGCAGCCACAACCAACAGCTCCACCCACTCTTTCGTGTCGGAGGCTCTTTCATCGCCTTCGGCGTATTTGTTGGCGCCGGTGAGGTTGTAGATGACGGACAAGGCGCGTGCGTAGTGCCGCCCATTTTTCCTTTTGTTCGTCTTGTTTACGTTTCGTGCGAAGCTTTCTACGAAAGAGATTGTATTGTGCCACTCGCACGCTTTTCGCAACCGCCTCTTCAGCTCACGAACCCCCCCCCCCCCCNACCCCCCCCCCCCCTCCCTCTCGAGGACCCGTGATCAACGGTCTAACCGCTAAGGCATGCAAAACATCCCCCGCCTGTTGCCAATTCCACTCCGCAGGGCCACGTGTCCGCCGTCAACGAGGTGATGATCAGAAAGTGCTTCACCAAGTGGGAGCCCGTGGTGGACATCGTCATCCCCGCGAGCCGGTTCAACGGCGTGTCCCCCGGCCCACGGCAGCTCCCGAGATGTTGGGCCTTCGTCCACTTCCCGCCTACCCCGGACGGGGAGCGCGCGGCGGCGAACGCCATCAAGGACCTCAATGGCACCACCATCTCGGAGCTCAGGGTGAGGAACGACCGCTGCCGCTGCCGCTGCTGTAGCTGGTTTGTTTCCACACGCGCAGCAGAGATACTCTGCTGCTGCCTTTGCTAGTGATGGTGTTCTATGTGTGGCTTCAAAAGGGGGGGGGGTTCGGTTTTTCTGGTATTGACGGTGCTGCACCGTTTCTTGTGCCTTTTTTTGTTTCGGACGGCGGTTTTGACGACCTCAACACTCCTGTGCAAGTGCTGCTACTGATGCTGCTACTGCTGTGCAGTATTCTATATACGAGAAATCTGACTGGGAGACCCTGCCTCTCTTTTACTTCGTATGTAGCAGCGCCGCGGCTACCGCTGATGGCACAGATGGATGATGGATGCATTTGGAATCCCTTGAGAACCCATCCCCTTGCTCTTTCTCTCGCTNCCCCCCTCTCTCTCTCTCCTTCTAACCGCAACGACGCCTTCTTGTTGTCTTCCCCGTTAACCCGAACCGATGTGTAACGACAGGTGCACTGCACCATGAGCCGCGGCGGCGGCACCAGCGCCGGTAGCCCCTGGAGCAAGCAGGGCGGTGGCGGCGGTGGCGGCAACAGATCGAGGAGGCACAGCACTGGTGGAGGCGGTGGAGACCGAGCCATGAGCCACGCTGGCGGCGGACAAGGCTTCGGCGGTAGGCCGTCGAGGTCTTCCCTCGATGGCCCAGGGGCACCGCAAGGGCGGAGCGGCGGATGGGGTGGACATGTGCGTACTTGTACATACCCCATCCCGCGTGTGTGGGTTTATCGCAGCCTTTTTTTTCTCAGTCGTCTCTTGCTGCGTACAAACCCAACCAGAGAGTGTGTGTGTTCATCGACCTGTTTTTTGCGATTGTTTCTTGCTGCACGAGTGTTTGGTCTTGTCGTCAGTGTCACCGGTGATGTCTGGAGGAGTCGACGAGAGAGAAGGCGAGCATGTTGTTGCCGGGTGTTTTAGCTAGTAGAGGCGACAAGTCACGAGGTTCCATCCACAACACGGTCATTATTCAGACAGCTACTTTGTGACAGCGGTTTGCAGGGCAAGCTATGATAGATTTTACCACTTGCCCCGCACCTTCCTCTTCCCCCTCTCCCCACGTTCTCTTGACCGGCGGCACTTCTCTCTCTGTTTTCCGGAATGCCCTCATACACCACCATCTCTTTGCATCTGTCCGCCGTCTGTTTTGCTCTCGATGCTTCCTCCCCCCGCCTGTACTCGGCTCGGCAGGCTGGCATGAACCGGCACAACATGCAGCGGATGCACCACCAGCAGCAGCAGGGCAGCCACCTTGCCCACGGCGGTGCCGGCGGCCATCACCTCCCGGGCGCCTTCCCCCCGCACATGCAGCACCCCCACCCCCACCACCTCCACCCCCACCCCCACGCCGGAGGCGGTCCTCTCCAGCACCAGCAGGCCCCGCAGCTTCACTTACCGCCGCTGTTCGCCACCGGATACACGGTGGCGACGGCGTCGGCGACCGGCGTAGGCCCTCCGCTTTCCATCGGTGCTGCGGGGCAGTATCCGGCGGCGGCGGCGGTGCCGCCGCCACCCGGTGGTGCCGGCGGCGGCCCGGACGGAGGTACCAGCGCAGCGGCGGCGGGCACAGCCGGCACTGCTAGTGGTGCCGGTGCCGGTGCCGCGGCTGGCGGCGGGGGCGGCGGGGGCGGCGGGGGCGGCGGGGGCGGCGGGGGCGGCGGGACCGACATGATGGTCCAGACGCACTACGGCATGGCTGCTGCGTACCCCCCGTACACGATGTCATTCCAGGGGGTCCCGTACGCGCCGGCGCAGCAGGGGTATCCGGTGAGTGGGAAGGGAAAATACATGCAAATGTAGCAGTAAAAAGGAGTTGCCAGCTGTGGTTGTAGCGTGGCGAGAACCGTAGGTTAAAAATACTGAGACGATAGGCACCAACATGAAAACTTGACACACCGGGTTGGGGAGGCGTCCTTGGTTGTCTTTGTGGACGGCTTCGTCGATTTGTTGTTGGACAGGACCTATCGGATCCTCGAGGTTATCTCTATCTATCCCATCTCGACTGACCCTCCTCTCCCCACCCATTTCCTATCCCGCGCACAATAACTGGTCACCAGATGGGATACCAGCAGATCTACCAGGGGTACACCTACCCGAACGCCCCCATACTCCCTGGACAGCAGCAGCAGCAGGCGGGAGGTGTTCACTCTAGTGGGCCTCAACCTCAGGCTGGTGGCGCCCCACAGCAGCAACAGCAGCAGCAGCAACAGGCTAGAGCCACTGTTGCTTCCGCACAGAGGCAGCAGCAACCGCCGCCGCCGCCGCCGCCGCAGCAGCAGCAGCAGCACATGGGCATGCAACAACACGCGATGATCATGGCGGGACAAGGGCCGCAGAACCCGATGGGGGGCGGTGGCGCCGCCGCCGGTGGCCTCAACGTTGGCGTCCCGCCGTATATGCCGCAGATGTACCAGCTTCCCCAGCAGCAGCACATGCCCAGCGGCGGCGCGGCGGCTGGCGAGCAGCAGCAGGGCGGCCCTGCGGTGATGGACCCGACGACTACTACCGTAGGCGGCGGTGGGGTGGTCGAAGTCAACAAGAAGCAGCAGCACGGGGGCGGCCTCCAGTAAGAAGATAAAGGGGGGGGGCAAAGAACAAAAAACCGACACTGTGAATGCCACCTCAGACTGTCGTAGATTGTGATGTCAGATGACCTGTTGGAGATCTACCTGGGGGGTGTTGCCTCAGATAGCGTCAGTGTAGGTTGGATGCTGAACCTTGCTTCAACACAAGGTTGCTCCCCACCTGACACACAGCACAACTATCCATGCTCGTCAGCCTCTCTACCAGAGGTTGAACCGGTGTGTATCCACACCACGCATCCCAAAGGGAACTTGCGGACACGTGAACCTTGAGACAACCGTCTCATATTGGTGTCAGCGGCAGGATACACACGGATTATCTTCTTTTCGTTTCTCCTTTTTGCTTTTTGCTTTTATTTGTGGTGTAGGATTGCGTGTGAGATTATGCTGTTGTATTTTGCTTAGCGCGATCTGTTTCTTTTTTAACGTGGTAAGAATAGCATCCGATTGGTAGGTTGTCTCTTTTCCCCCCTGGAGAGCGACTGAGAGAGAGAAAAAGAGTTCCCGAAAAGCAGTCGGTTGTAAAGTAGGCAGTCATTCGAGTCTAACATGTTTGTGCTGGAGGTACGGGGGGCGAAGGCACCCCGAAAGAATTGAAAAGTGTGCTGTCAAACCAGATAGTCTTTCCCGCGTGCGTATGACGCACGTGCTCGCCTGAAGACCACCGGAGCACGAAATAGGGAAGTCGGGATACGGGGGGGAGGGGCAGGGGTAGGGGATTAATAATAACGAAACGATGTTTACACCGCCGTTGTAAATATTGCAGTAGTGCACTAGTCTACAGGGGATGTGTTGTCGATCATCATGCAACGTTTCTTTTGTTCCTTCTGGCTTGTTCGGGTGTGGCTTTTTGGTGCGACTTACGGCCAACAATGCAGCGAGAGAAGAGAGAGAACGAGCTAACGCCAAGCATGTGATGGGGCGGCAACGGCAATGGGAAGAAGTAGGAGTTACCAGCGAGCAGTTAGTCGTCAGTCTAGCGGTGTTCGCAAGAAACTNGGGGGGGGGGGGAATAACTTGGCGTCGTTACAGGGATAGAGGGACCCAGCCACCCAGCACCAGACCTCGGCAATGATACACGCATGGCACGTACGTCAGTACTGCACAAACTGTCTCCCGCGCAAGGGTTTGATTATTCCATGTGGCGCTTTGTGTGTTGTGTGTGTGTTGGTGATCCTTGCTCGGGCCGCAGCAGCACAGTAGCAGCTGCAGCAGGCGTGTAAAGTTGCAGGGGAGGAGGAGGGCAGTATGATGGGCACGCGTACATGTCGAGTGTGGTGGTGTCTGGTAATGTAGGGTTTGGATGTCGTGTGAGTGGCATAGTCTTCCGTGTCTGTCAGGTGGCGCGCACGCTGTCGGCGGTGGTGTGTGCAAATCCCCGTCTCGTCGACTAGTGGTGGCGATGATTGATTTCGATCGCGGCGAGGTGGTTGCAGCATAGCGCACCTCCACGCGATGGAGCACGCCTCTCAACCGATGGTTAAGCACGTGCATTGTAGTGGTAGTAGGCGTTTTGTCACCGAGCGGGGGGCGGCGGCAGAAGGTGACGTGTATAACTAGTACTTTACGCAGGGCGATGCCATGGTATTGTTGGGTGCGCCCTTGTTTCTTTTCTCGGAATAACGCTGTGGGTGTGATTTGATGCATCATCTTCCATCATCCCGGCATTGTGGAGAGCCTATCTGCTGCAAGGTTCTATAGCAGCAGTAGCAGCAGCAGCAGCAGCAGCAGATCGGGGGGCAAAGAAGTGATGTGGTCGTGTGGGTGCGTTTTTTTTTTGGCGCAAGGCTAGCAGACGAGTTCCTGGTACAGCATATCGTTGAAGCAGCGCATCCGCCGGTGGTGGCACTGCCACCTCCCCCCACCCCCACCCCTCCTGGTCCCCTCTCGCACTTGCTGCTGCAATTTCTGCCGCCTGACTTGGTGTTGTTGGCTTCGTGCGTTCGCGGAAAGGAGGTGCTTTTCCTCTTTTGATTACCCCACCCACCCCTTCTCGTCTTGACTTAATCCTGGTGTTTTTTTCGTGAGTTTCGCCGCCCCACACCTACATAGTCACGGAAGGAATAGAGGGCCAGCAGTGCGGGGGGGGGGTATTCGAGGAGGATAGCGTCCTTCGCATCTGTACTTTTGCTGCCGTCGTCGTCGTGTCGCCTTTCTTTGTCTTCCCCCCTAGCTTAACCCCTTTTGCCAAAAATAAGCGTGTGAAAATTTGCTATTGTGAATCGTGGAGTTCGAATTGACACCTTGCGTACCCCCCCCCCCCCCCCCCCCCCCCCCCAGCCCCAAACATCGTACAAGTGGCACACCCTCATGATGTTGTCGGCTGGGTATCGTTTGTTCGTTGAAGTGTTCCGCGTGTTTACACGGAGGCAGACGGCGAGGCGTGTTGGGGGGGGGGAGAGGTGTGCGTGGCAGCTACAATCATCGTTACGTGCTTACTTCTGGTGGTCGTGGAGGGGGGGGGCTAGCTCTGTCTTAACCTAGTTGAGGGAAGTATTTTACTTTCAAACAGCAGTCAGTGTCACGCGCGGGGTGGTGGGTCATCGCTGTTACTGAGAGGAGGGATGGATTTTGGGGTCGAGGTGGTCTCACCCCTCATCTCTTTCCCCCCTCTTCCGATCTGACCTCCTCCTCCCACCGACCTCGCTGCTTCGCGTTGTTAGTCGTAAAAATAATTAATTGTAGTTGTGGTTGTTGTTGTTGGATCCTCGTCCTGTCTTGCATGACAAGTCGTCTCGTCTGTCGGCATTTTGGCCGTCCATCGGTGGTCGGTTCGTTCTGCTGCGGTCTTCTTCCTGTTGTAGTCGCCTGCTGCCCGCAAGGGACAGCAATCAATGCGCACGACATAATACAAAGCGACAACGGAACACGACGAACGCAAGTGTATCATATCAAGCTTGGAGTCCAACAACAACACGGGATTCTCCGCTGCAGGAGATGAACGCACTGCTGTGCGATAATTCCCCCTGCTGGATAAGGGTCGAGGCGAAAGAAAAAAAGCCGAGAACGCACACGGGTGGCCAGAGGGCAGGTTGTGGGTGGGTTGTGGGCATCCACAAGGTAGGGGCAGGTTGTAGAGGGGGGTTGGGAGGAGGCCCCAACCTCCGCCAAACGGCTTGGTTGTACAAGGACGGATTCGGAAGGTTAAAAGACAGCCACAACGTCAGGCCACACCTCTTGGTTGTGCAAGCATAGATCACACGGACGGGTTGGGGGGCATCCACAACCTTAGGCCGCACCTCTTAGTTGTGCAAGCACCGATGATACAGGTTGGGGGGCAGCCACAACCTGTATCCAGACCTTCTGGTTGTGAAAACACCGGTGGCGCGGGTTGGGAGGCAGCCACAACTCAAGGCCAGACCGATGTTACTGTGCCTTCCCTGATCATAATGGTTGGGGGGTAGCCACAACCTGTATCCAGACCTTCTGGTTGTGAAAACACCGGTGGCGCGGGTTGGGAGGCAGCCACAACTCAAGGCCAGACCGATGTTACTGTGCCTTCCCTGATCATAATGGTTGGGGGGTAGCCACAACCTGGATCTAGACCCTCCTGGTTGTGAAAGCACAGGCGGCGCAGGTTGGGAGGCTGCCACAACTTTAGGCGGAGACCGATGTTGTTGTGCTTTCCCCGATCATAATAATGGTTGGGAACAGCCACAACCTTAGGCCAGACCTCCTGGTTGTGACGGCACCGGCGGCGCAGGGTGGGAAACATCCACGATCTCAGGCTAAACCTCCTGGCCGTACAGGCACCGATGGCTGCGATAGAATGTGCCACGTGGGTGTGAAACGTCCTTCTTGCCGAACTAGAAATAAAACATCCTCTAGAAACAATTGGATGACTTCGGTAACTTCAAGCTGCTTAGGTACACACACATACCTCGACTGCTGTAGTGTAGGGGTTGCTGAGGCCTACCCATATTATGCGTCGGGATGTGTACAGAGAAACGAGCGGGCAAAAGGGCTGGTGCCAAGTGCGTCGCCGACGGGCGAACGGGCTGTCGTCGGGTATCGCTTGCTGTTCAAATCACAAAGGGGTCCCTAATTTTTTCCGTGTCGTTCATCCCGGTGTCTGGCGGGATCACGCAATCGTCGCATCTCTACTGGTCGCACGCTAAGTTCGCAGGCCTGGAGGGATCGTAAACAGCANCCATCCCTGTGTCTGGCGGGATCACGCAATCGTCGCATCTCTACTGGTCGCACGCAAAGTTCGCAGGCCTGAAGGGATTGTAAACAGCAAATGCGCGTTGCTCCGTACCTGCTCTTGCTGGGACTTTTGCAAAACATGCAAGCCTTCCGCAGTAAATGAAGGTGAGCGCACCACGAAACAGCTCCAGCTGCAAGCCTTGACGAGGTCTTGGAAGGCGTTGCACACAGCCGCCTTGCCAGCGGGGGTGCCGGGCTCCACACTGATGCGATCTGCCACCTCCGTAACGACCATGGTCCGAACATAGCAGCCCTGATTACAGCACATGGGATAAAGGAGGTGGGGGTGAACCCACAGTCGCATCTCCAAAGTGAGGCACACACTGATTCGCGATTCGCGGAGTGCGGTTTTACATCGGACGAGCGGAGGCGGTCCAAAATTTGTCCGGTGTCGCCCTGTTCTGCACCAATCCCCTCCATATTTCGCCTACGGCCTACGGCGGCATCGCCAAGAAACGATGTAAACATGTCATGACAACGTGTTCGTAAACGTCGAGGGAGGCCGCATAAAACACCCTCTAAATTGCTGAAGTTCGTAGCTTTTGACCGGTAGGGTTGGCGTAGGGGCCCCGATATATAGCGAATCGACGCAAAGCAATTTTTTCTTCTGCTTCCTATGTATCCAATCGCTCCTGTGCCCCGAATCCTCGACATGACCTAAGGCGTGCAGTCTATAATAGTCATATTCAGCTACTTTCAAGGACATGTTAAGACTCTCGGAGACCGAATTATTACCGGACTGATCGTTAAGCTGCAAAGCGTTTCGTTGGGCCCCGGTTCGATGTGAGCGAAGTAACACGACACAGCAGTGGTTGTGGTGTCTCTTTCATATGCCATTTTCAGATGTGGACTACCGGCGGTGGCGGTGGCGGTGGGGTTGGCGAAACAACGTACAGAATGCCCGCTTGAATTGCAATACACGGCCGAAATCGTAGGCACGTGTCCACCCACGCCACCTCGTTGGCTATATCCCATTGTTTATCTCTGCCCACCAGCCGTACTCACCAGATTGTCCGGACTGGAGAAGATTGGCGCGAGGAGGAATGGGAAGATACTGGAAACGAGCCACAACTGTTGACCAGCCAACGCCGATCCACCTCCAGCACTGGTGATGTCGGCTATCGGCGAGACGTTCGGGGGCAGCATCCGGCGCCATGCATAACGAGCACGCACAATCTCGGAACCAGCGGGATCAAGATCATCCATCACAAAGCCCATGATCTTCTTGCCCGAGTTAAGCGCAGACTGCGTCAGCAGTAACATCAGAGATTCGGGGGTGGGGGTGGGGTCAGAGTCAAGTTAGCTGGCAGGTTACCGGGGTTGAATGATACGTCGCCCGTCAGGGCACATGCCGCTTGGCTAGTAATCCGAGCGTCGCTTTGCTCATTTTGGGAACAAATTAACGAAGGGATGTGATCACGTTTGTGAGTGTAGGAGACCTGGGAAACGAGATCCACCACACGTCCAATGTGGACTTGCCTGTCTGACCTACACCACACGATTGAGGTTGGCATCTCGATTAGACCGAACCAACCTTACGGCATCTATGTACCTGGTGCAAAATGTCCATGCCGCATCCCTCAACCCGGTCGAAAGCGACCTCGTCCAGGGGGTTGGGATACCGGGGCACGACCACGCCCAGAGCTCGTGACAGCTTTTCCTGGTCCTGCTTCTTTTCCGTGGCCGCGACGCGGTCGAGGTCCTCCCTGAGTCCATCCGCTGTCCGGGCGTTCTTGACAATGTCGTACTTCGGGTTACCGAGGTCCCTCCTAGGAACTACGCATGCCTGGCACGTTCTTTCCGTCTTGGCGTTGTGGTGCTTCTGGTTCGCCCACAAGCTGTGCATAGGGGAGTCGAGGTTCGCCGTCAGGAGACCTAGTCTCACCAACGCCTGTTAAACGAGGAGCAGAGCAGGGTAGAGAGGGCGGTTGGGGCGGGCGTTGTTCGTGTTCGGTATCTGTACTTTGTTTTGCAGGCGCACACAGGGCAGGAATGAGTCGTTCGCCGCACGCTTTTGCATGTTCGACGTGAAAGCCGAACCATGGGCGCATTCTTGTTTCCATAACAACCCCCAGCCTTGTTGATTCATTCGCCGGGGGGTATCATTGAGCGACAGAACGACCCCCCCCCTCCCCCCCCCTTTCCACAGCGTGCGAAAATATACTGTGGCGTCGATCCTGGGGCTGCTCAGGTCGCATACCCAGACGACGGGACTAAAGCCAGCCCCATCTACGCTGCCGTTATCTGTAGTTGTTGCATCGTGCGCAGGACGGCTAATTTTGATGCACTCCCAAACAACCCTCCCGCCCTGATATTCTATCACCCACTCCCACGTTCGGCATACAGTTTCGACCGGCCGTCTGCGGTGGGGGGGGAGAGAGGGGGGGGGAGCGCATGATGTAGATCTGCGCCAACCTCTACACCACTTGAACCTCCGTTGCCCTTCACGATTTGTACTTATATAGCAAAACTCACCGTCACGGTGTGCTTGTCTCCGATCGAAATCTCTGCCTTGCACCTATTCTGAAGACGGCGAATGATTTCCATGAGAGGCAACATGTCCAACTCCCACGCCGCGCCCGGCAACCCGAGCGTAGCCAGGTACCAAGATTGAAGACGTCGTAGAGGAGTTGGCGACAAGCACCCCAACCCGACGAAAGTCGCATTCACGCTGTACTTTCTGCCACTCAGGCAAAAGCAATTGAAGGCGTCCGAGCTGCACGCTATGCCCGCGGAGAACACAGGAAGCCCCGCCAGGTTCTCGTGAACTCCGCTTGCTCTCCGATCGAAGAACCAACCGTGGTATCCCTGTTTCTTCCAAGGTGCCATCGCCAACCGCAGCTCGTTTGTCCGGGGGGTCTGTTCAACGAAGCGTTCCCCGTAATATGCAGGCACAGCGTCACCATCCGATGGTTCTGATGTATCACCAGGTACAAGGACCGAACAAAGCCCCGAAATCGCCCCGACCCGTATTTCCAGTGGGTCGTTCGTGAGCTCCCAGACTTGCTCGTACTTCTCCTCGCGTCGACGCTTAGTTACGAACGAATGGCCCACCTTACGCCTCGACAGGAGGCGATTGACACGGACAACGAGATGACCCTCGCTGCTAGCCATGCTCTCCTCCGGGCTGATGCTTCTGCCATCGGGGTCCGCCGCTTCCCCTGCGGTTTTTCTCCTTCCCTGCTGAGTCACACTAGCCGCCAAAGTCTCCGCATAGGCTTTCCGCTTCCGGGTTCGCCCTCTCACACGGCCGCTTCTCCGGCATTGGGCCTGAATGGTCCTTCCTGTGGCTCCGCCATCGATGCTACTGTCCTCGCTGCTGCTGCCGTTGTCCCCGCTTCTGCTGCTGCTATTGTCCGCGCTGCCGCTGTTGCTGCTGTCTTCGCCGCCGCCGCCGCCGTTGCTGCCACCACCCTCACTGCTGCCGTCCTCGCTGCCGCTGCTGCTGCTGCTGCTGCTGTCACTGCCGCTGCTGCTGTCACTGCTGCTGCTGCTGCTTCTGCTGCTGGACTCGCTACTGCTATCGTCTTCATCCTGGAGCCCCAGCCGTTCCGCCAAGTCCGGCCCCCCTCCTGCAAGCTGAATATCTCTTCTGTCTCGTTTCTGAAGGTCCCGCCAGAAAATAGCAGCTAACCTGCATGGCTGGGGCGTGCCGCATTCAGGCACGCGGGCCATGATGGTGTCACCGACCATCACCCGCACCCCATCTCCAGCCGTGACAC